TTCACCACATCCCCTCTCACCCCCCCATCATAGCCGACCAAGTGAGGAGAGAACTGACCCGGAAGGCAGCAGGCCCAGACAAGGTGTGTCCACGGCTGAAGTCCTGCACTGCTGAACTCGGGGAGCCGCTTCAACGAATCTACAACCTGAGTCTTCGACTAGGGAGAGTGCCAACCATCTGGAAAATGTCCTGCATCGTTCCAGTTCCCAAAAAGAACCGGCCCAGCGAGCTGAACGACTTCCGACCCGTGGCACTCACATCACACCTGATGAAGACTCTTCCTCAACCTCCTCAGGCCGGAGGTGCAACATGCCCAAGACAACCTACAGTTTGCCTACAGTGCGGAGATCGAGGATGCCACCCTCTCCCTCCTCCACTGAGCCCACTCAAATCTAGACAGGGGGAGCGGCGCTGTGAGAATCCTCTTCTTGGATTTTTCTAGCGCCTTCAACACCATCCAGCCACTTGCACTCCAGGATGAACTGATGCAAGTGGACCCCTGTCTTGGATTGTCCTGGATTTCCAGCTACCTTACGGACAAACCACAGTATGTCAGGCTGAATAACGTCAAATCTGACACTGTGGTCAGCAACATCGGAGCCCCACAGGGGACGGTGCTGTCCCCTCTCCTCTTCACCCTATACACCTCTGACTTCTGGTACAACTTCGAACTGTGTCACATCTAGAAGTTTGCAGATGACACAGCCATTGTGGGGTGTATTAAGGACAACAATGAGGAGGACTACATGTGCCTCGTGAGGAACTTTGTTGTATGGAGCAAATCCAACCACCTGCAGCTCAACACTTTCAAGACCAAGGAGCTGGTCATAGGCCATAAGATGAACCCGATTATTGTTTCATCTCATTTCGACGTCTGCGAACTACACGATCTTAACTTAAACATAAAAAAGAACGAGTTACGTTAAACTTACAGCAAAAAGTTCATCGCAAAAAATCCTGCCCATTAGTTTCTTCAAGCGTAATAGGATTTTTGTTAGCGAGCGGTGGCACGGTTCGACACATGCACAAAGAACAATGAGGCAAATAGACGATAAGGTGAACTTTGTATGTTAAGTCATTTTGATCAATAAAATGAAGTAATCAATGGCAAGGACCATTTGTTTATTCATTCGTTCATTTATTCACTCCTAACTAAATACAACACAGATCAATCATAAAAAACAATCTTTATTGAAACATATATACATACAGTATGTACAATATATAAAACATCAAAAATATTTGGATTCCAGTGGGCGGAGTGAACGCTAGCGCGACTTGCTGCTTTAGCAGCTTATTGATCCACAACTGTCACCGCTCCTGTGTCCATTTCGACTGAGTCCTCGCAGAGTTTGTCACCACAGTGTTAACTGGCAGGATACACTTCGAGTCCGTTCTTCTCTGGACTTTGCTGTCATTTCCTTCACCAACCTGCGATGGGCCTGCTCCAATACTCCACTTCGGCTGCATCACCTCTCCTCCTGGACATTACTTTCCTGCCCCGCCGGAGATACTGTATATCCACCGTGGGAACATCCATAAAGACACCTCGAAAACAATAGTCCATCTGGTCCACCTCTGGCCGGGTCGTTGACCACAGTGTGCTAGCCTACCTAGCCCGGTCGGCTAACACTCCTCCCAGATGTGACAACACCACCGTCAACTTTGGTCTGCTCAACATCCGCTCACTCACGAGCAAAAGACATCTTATCCAGGATATCCTCACCGACTTTCTCTTTTTAACCGAGCCATGGCAACAGCCCAACGACTTCTCTCAACTAAACAAATCCACTCCTACGGGGTTTGTTTACATCTGTCAACCCCGCGAATCCAGCCGAGGAGGAGGTCTCGCGATAATCCACCGCGAGAAATGGAAAGTCTCGGCGGTGTCTGTTCCAACCTTCTCCTCCTTTGAATCCATCGTGTGTCAACTGTCTGGTCGTACTCCTACCATCATTACAACTAATGATACAACCCTAAACCCAACTAACCAGTTTTTAAACGACTTTGCTGCTCTGCTTACTTATTTGTCTACCCTCTCACCAAACAATATAGTACTGGGAGATTTCAACATCCACATGGATAATATTAATAACCCTCTTACCAAAGACTTCTCATCCTGCATGGACAGCTTTGGATTCCAACAGTTTACTAATGTTCCCACTCATACTCATGGTCACATCTTGGATCTAATTTGCTGCTCTGGTGTCTCTCCTTCCAACCACACAGCTGATGAACTCCCAATAACTCACCATTTCCTCCTCTCATTTAATATAAGTCTCCCTCTTTTTGTTTCCAAGCTGCCCCGTCTCATCTCCTACCGTAATATTAAGAACATTAACTTGGACTCTCTTGCCTCTAGTATTTACCCCCTCATGGATTTTCACAATCTAACCACCCCTGAAGAACTGGTCTCTCACTACAACGTTGGACTTCAACACATACTCAACTCTCTTGCTCCGCTAAAAAACAGGTCTGTTTCCTTCTCCCATTCTGCCCCCTGGTTTACGCCTGAACTTGCCTGACTCATGAAAGCCAAAGGCCGACAACTTGAACGGCTGCAATGCAAATCTGGACTAACTATTCACAAAAACATTTATAAAAATCACATGCTGCACTACAAGGACTGTATCACCCAAACAAAATCCAATTACTACACTGGTTTAATCTGTTCACATGAAGGCAACACCAAATCACTATACTCACTGTATAAGAAGATTGTCCTAGCCCCAGACTCTCTACCATCTCATCTGTACTCAATTGTATTCTGTAACTCCCTCATGGCAGTTTTTGATGAAAAGATCCAGAAAATTCATAAGCATCTTAGTCCACAACCCACCTCCGATACTATCTGAACGCCCCCCTTCTACCCACTCCTTTTCCTCCTTTCTGCTCCCCTCCACCTCAGTAATCTCCGATCTCATCTACAAATCTAAGCCCTCCACCTGTCAGCTGGATCCTCTCCCCACAGATTTAGTTAAAGCATGCCTCCCTTCTCTCGTCCCTCTCATTTCCGCCATCATCCACTCTTCTGTTACCACTGGGACTGTTCCTACCTCTTTCAAAATTGCTGCAATAACCCCAATTCTGAAAAAACCTGGCGCTGACTCCACCAATTTTAATAACCTACGTCCAATCTCCAACCTGCCTTTCATCTCTAAAATCCTCGAGAAAATAATAGCAACTCAACTCAA